AGCACCTACACAGAAAATTTCAGGTTAAATAAGAATATTCTTGTTCACCCTTCTTTCAAGCTAGAATTTTCAATAAACATCAGATGCAAACCCATTTCTTGAGAATGTGCTCAGAAAACAACATATAGCTAGCTATACCTGGCTTTGATTTTGGCATGGGTCTTTTAAAAAGATTGACTGTCCCAAGGTCACCAATGTCTGGAGCTTGTTTCTGAATAGAAACCTAGGCAAAAGAGAACATGATTTGATGTTTGTTCTTTGTTGCAAGCATACAAATAATAAAACAAAACCTGTGCTATATTATTAAAGTTTCTCTGGCAAACCTTTATATAAGCTGATCCTTCTAAATCACTTGGAATTTGAACATCCAATGGACAGTAATCCTCAGGTATCTTTTTATCCAAGTCAATGTCAGTGTTCTTTATCACCTCAAACGTGCCATGATGAAGAAAAAGGGAGCCTAAGAAAGGAAGGACAAAGACACACATACTATAAGGCATCTTCTGCAAATAATGAAGCTCATACCTCCATTTTGGAAGAATATGTATTTCTAAGTCTCCAAACCTCCATAGTTCGGCTTGACTAAAATTTCTTAATGAATTCTTAAACAAACAGGTAAATTATAAAGCTCATTTCAGCACATCAGCATCTCAGTCCTCCAGCGTGTGCTGTGTAATATTTTACAGTAAGTTAGCAAGTAGTATTTAATAGTATGGGAGAAAATCAACAGTGTTTCAAAATGGTGTCAGCAGAAGCAGGGAAGGAGAAAAAAAGGTATTTGCTTAAAACAAGACAAAAAAGTTAACTGCCCAAAGTTTTGCAAGCAAGTAGCTTAAGGTGCAACACCCCTACTGATTTAAAGGAATGCTGATGATGTTTGGCTTGCAGTCTTAAAACTATGACAGTGTTCAGTCTGTAAAAACCAGCCATACAGCCAGTCATTCAGGTGGGACTGATAAAGGCAGGTGCCCACATCTGTCCCAGTTGCATCCCTTTTACATCCAGGGCACACTTCACCTAGTCTAGGATAAATCATCTAAAAAGAGACATATCCTGGGTTACATCTACAGCTTCTTCATGAACACAAGATTAACAACCTTAAATTTGATAATTATGACAACTGGAGCCCAACATAACTGGTACAGATGCCTGCTTTGTATCTACATCTTAAGTTTGGCAAGATTCTGTATTCACTCCTTCACTCCATAATTGGCTCTAGAACTCTGGGCTGGTTACCTTCTCCCACTGCAATCCATGAAATAATGCATATGCTCAGTATCACTTCTCACAAGCGTAGGAATAATAGGTATAATAAATACGTCTTCACTCAGAGAAAAATGCAAGATGCTCCTTAATTTTTTTAAAATGCTTTACAGACCAAATGTAGATAAAAGCCAACAATTTACAAGGTCTACCTGTCAAATGATGAACTACACCGTCAATGCAGAATTGCTTCTGTAAAGGAATCTTTACTACAATCCTACACAGTCAGCTTTTAAAATCACTTTCTAGGTTGAAGATGGCAGGATATTTTCCCTGATAATAAAACAAATTTCCTCCTTTTATAATTGTCTCATAACTATAATCATATTTAAGAAGTCATGGCAGTCCGGTGAAGTTCCCACTGACTGGAAAAGGGGAAACATAACCCCCATTTTTAAAAAGGGAAAAAAGGAAGACCCGGGGAACTACAGGCCAGTCAGTCTCACCTCTGTGCCTGGGAAGGTCACAGAACAGATCCTCCTGGAAGCTATGCTAAGGCACATGGGGGACAGGGAGGTGATTCGAGACAGCCAGCATGGCTTCACCAAGGGCAAGTCCTGCCTGACCAACCTAGTGGCCTTCTATGATGGAGGGACTACATCAGTGGACATGGGAAGGGCTACAGATGCCGTCTATCTGGACCTCTGTAAGGCCTTTGATATGGTCCTCCACAACATCCTTCTCTCTAAACTAGAGAGGTATGGATTTGATGGGGGGACTGTCCGGTGGGTGAGGAATTGGTTAGATGGTCGCATCCAGAGGGGAGTGGTCAACGGCTCAATGTCCAGATGGAGACTGCTGACAAGTGGCGTCCCGCAGGGGTCCATATTGGGACCGGTACTGTTTAATATCTTCATCAATGACATAGTGGGATTGAGTGCACCCTCAGCAAGTTTGCAGATGACACCAAGCTGAGTGGTGCGGTCGACACGCCAGAGGGACGGGACGCCATCCAGAGGGACCTGGACAAGCTCGAGAAGTGGGCCTGTGTGAACCTCATGAGTTTAACAAGGCCAAGTGCAGGGTCCTGCACCTGGGTTGGGGCAACCCCCGGTATCAATACAGGCTGGGGGGTGAAGGGATGGAGAGCAGCCCTGCCAAGAAGGACTTGGGGGTACTGGTGGATGACAAGCTGGACATGAGCCAGCAATGTGCGCTCGCAGCCCAGAAGGCCAATCGTATCCTGGGCTGCATCACAAGAAGCGTGGCCAGCAGGTCGAGGGAGGGGATTCTGCCCCTCTCCTCTGCTCTGGTGAGACCCCACCTGCAGTACTGCATCCAGCTCTGGAGCCCTCAGCAGAAGAAAGACACGGACCTGTTCGAGCGGGTCCAGAGGAGGGCCACGGAAATGATCAGGGGGATGGAACACCTCTTCTATGAAGAAAGGCTGAGAGAGTTGGGGTTGTTCAACCTAGAGAAGAGAAGGCTTTGGGGAGACCTTCTTGCAGCCTATCAGTACTTAAAGGGGGCTTATAAAAAAGATGGCGGCAGACTTTTTAGCAGGGCCTGTTGTGACAGGACAAGGGGGAATGGCTTTAAACTAAAGGGGGGTAGATATAGACTAGATACAAGGAAGAAATTTTTTACACTGAGGGTGGTGAACCACTGGCACAGGTTGCCCAGAGAGGTGGTGGATGCCCCATCCCTGGAAACATTCAAGGTCAGGTTGGACGGGGCTCTGAGCAACCTGATCTAGTGGAAGGGGTCCCAGCCCACGGCAGGGGGGTTGGACTAGACGACCTTTAGAGGTCCCTTCCAACCCAAACTATTCTATGATTCTATGATAATACTTTATTATCTGATACTATTTGTTATTAAAAATATTCCATCTGTTTTTCCAGTCACAAAAAAAATTGTGAAATATAAATACCCATTCTTGAGAAAAACAAAAGACCCTACTGTTTACCTGCACTTCTGTAGCTCAGATCACCAAGAATTTTGTCTCCTACTTTTCTCAGCTTCCAATGTTGTCTCAGTCTTAGCAGTTCAGAGTTGAAGTCTCTTTGTCGCTTATTTTCCTGGTTTTCTGCAACAGATTTGGATAATCTTTCTGCACCTTTCAACAGGATTTGAGCTGCTCCAGCTAACGACTTCTTTTTTGAAATCAGCTGTAGAAACTGAGGATTCTAGTAACAAATAAAGAAAAAAACTTCTTGTATGTTAATTCCCCCAAAATTATTATTAGTTGTACTAATTGACATTGACTGACAACTTAGTTTTGCTGGATGTTCAGCAACTTATCTAGAGTAACTTTCATGACAATATTATGTAGCCACAAGCAGCATTTTGACTTACAGCTTCAGCAAAGAGGCCTTTGAAATCAGCCTCACCTCCCATTCTCAGCCTTCCCCGGACCCATAAAGCACTGTACCAGCACATCACAAAGAACATTTTACTAAATCTTGTATGTATCATACATGAAAAATCCCAGTGAAATAAAATCTTTAGTATCAAGCCATAAAAACTACACAACTAGGTACAATATACCTGTTTTGGAGGAAGGGGATCCTGCACAACTGGATCTAGAGTCATGAACTTTTTATCCTTGACAATACTAAGAACATCGTACAACACACACATCTCAGTCAGGGCGCTTCTTAAGTTGTTCCTCACTGAATCCCAAGGCCAGAGGGACGGCTGAAACTTTACCAACCCTAAAAATAAAACAAAAGAAGGGAAAACAAAGGATTGTAAAAAGATACAGTGTAAGGCTCATTCTTAAACCACAGAGAGACCACAACGGCATGAAACACAACTTAACAGCACGATCTCTGGATCTATCCTTTTCCACTCCACTGCTGTAATTTGCGGTATTCGGTCACGAATATTCTGACCTGACCCACGGCCAACCGTGGGAATCCACGGGGGAAGGCAAGCCACGCCCAAGGGCCTGTGGGGCTGTAGGCCTCCGTCAGCTGCAGCCCGGTGAGAGAGCTCAGGCTCTGGGCCCGGCCGCGGGCCGACTGACAGGGAGCCGCGGGCCCGCCGCCCCTCACCTTCCTCATCCTCCGCCTCGCCCGGCTCGGCCCAGGCGCGGCCCGCCGAACCCGGCTCGTCCTCCTCGGAGCCGGAGCCCTGGCTGAAGTCAATGCGCTGCGCCAGGCGCGCCAAGTTCTGGGACATGGAGAGCGGCTGCAGGTAGGTCTCGCTGCCATCCAGCCCCACCTCCTGCACCTGCTTCTCGCACGCCGACTCGATGCTGATGCG